GTGATTGGCTGATTAGAAATTAAGTGTTAACGAGCAGTTGGACAGGTGTACCTAATAAAGTGGCCGGTGAGTGAATATAGGCACTGGCGGGCCACACGGGAGTCACCCGCGGGCCACATTTGGCCTGTGGGCCTTGTATTTGACACATGTGGCTTAAAGCATGGGTTAGTAGGTTTGTATCTGTAAAATTGATTGTGATAGTCATTTTTTGTGTTGTCTAAGGTTGTTTTGTATTGGCCAGGTTGTGTGGAATGACTTTATCAATGTTTTTAATATCCTGAATGCTGTAAGCTATGAAATGAGCCTCAAACTGCCTCTGGTCTTGTTTAGCATCTGGTCTTTCAGTGTTTGTTTGTTTGTTTTTTTACCTGTATCTGAACATGCGTTGGTTGAATCATTTTTGTAGAAACCCTCTCCAGCCTGTTTCCTTCACTGTCCTGACCCGTGAGTCGAACACAGAAAGGAACTGTGGGAACAGAGTCCACCAAGCCCAAAAGCTCCTCCAGAGCGTGGACCGGTGACGATGAAGAGTGGTTCAACTTCACCTGCTGAAGGCTCTCCCCTTCAGCCCCCAGCAGTGTGGCATAAAACAAAGTGTCCTCAGCTGAAGACACGCCTGTAATGGTCAGCACCAGAAACACGGGAGCCCCTGGACAGGATGGAGTTCTCTTTTTCTTTTAAATGTCAAAACAAGTGAAACTAAAACACGAGTCATTGAATGAAATATCTGATGAGAAATGAGGCCTCACCTGCTACAGGACTACCTTCCACTTTGGCCAGTCCTGGGTGTGTTGCATTCGATACAGAGGCGAAATAATACAGGAAATTTACACTGCTGTCACCTGGTGGTAAACATTAGAGCATCCTTTGAGTCATTTTCACACTAAACTGGTTTTGTCAATAATCATAGGTGTGTTTTCTTTTACCCATCACGCTGAATGTGACGTGTCCGTCACTCCTGGCCCGCAGATTCCACTGACCGGGCTCGACAGGAGGCAAGAGGCTGATTCGATACAAACCCTGGAAGTGCTGCAACTCTGCCAGGGAGCCGTGCTTGCTCAGCAGAGACTGACTTTGGGCTGAAAGGAAACCAAAGAGGAAAACTGGAAGTCATCAATCTGGCTTGTAAAATCAAATTTCCTGCCCAAATTCCAAAACAGACCGAACATCAGTGTTTCCTCCTTAAAGCCCAATATTTATCAAAGAATTACTCCTATAATACTATAAGCTGATTTTTTATTTTTTATTTTTTATTTTTTA